GGGGGGGGGATGGTATGGTGGGGTCCGCGTCGGAACCTGTCCCGCGGGCAATTGCGCGCACCGAGAGCCCAGTCAGCGCAGTGGAATTACTCATTAAGATTTCTAATATTCTGATACGTGCAAAATGCGAGCTCGCAACTGCAAAACAATTAATAGAACGTTTCTCTAAAAAGAAGGACGTCGACTTGAACGATAATTATGAGCTGAAAGGTATGTGTTAAGGATTGTAAGAACCAAAGCGAATGCTCAATCGTGCAGAAATTCTAAGAATTTATATAGAATTAATGAGGTGTCGTTGGGACTTGTTTCGAAAGAAACTCTGTAGAAGTAACCAGCGTTTTGTATCATTTTCATTCTCGCTCAACCTGGACGGCGTTGTTTTTCTAACAATGTAATCCAGTTCACCAGTACGCAAATGCTTATAAATACAGTATTGTTCATTAATAATCAATTGAAATTATTTCTTATATTCTATTTAGAGGGAAAAGTAGTAGTTCGATTAAGAAATCCGATTTACATATGAAATGCATTTTAGTCAGAAATACCGTATTTCGTTTTAAAAAAAACATTTTATCTGGACAACATAGGTAGCAGAACCTGCGTGCCGAGGAATAGAACAAGAGTAGTAGTTCTCCCGCATAATGGCGCTTCCACTTACTCTGGGAAGATAGTAATGGCTGCGGCCTCTACCGTTGCCCATAAAACGCGCACGCAGATGCACGCACTAAACCCAGCGTCGACTGCTCGGTCGCGCACCGCTCGGCGATCGAGAGTCCCGCTACGACTAGCACAGATTGACTCGACATTGTCTCCGTTTTAAGAGCCCTGCCCTGCCCTGCTCTGTCGCTCCAATGGTCTTGGAATAATAGAAGCAGATGCATTACTAAATTTTCTGTCTTAATGCGATTAACCGGCTTCTCAACTGTTTTCCTTTTGTGGTTGAGGTCGACCTAGTAGAAGAGAAAACTATTGTTGGACTTCCCTGGGCTTCAATGAAATGTTGGATGATTTTATGGAATATGTGGAGGTTCGCTATATTTACGTTATGTCGATAATATTTCCCTGGAGCGAAGTAAAAAAAAATCTATTAGTTCACAGGCAAACGAAAGAATCGCCACGAAAATCTATGAATTTTAGAAAATCATGTTCATAACTAGATAAAATACCACTGTTTTATCAAGAGATAAGAAAACCACTCATAGAAAATTTGAGGCGGATAATACAGAAGATTTGATCGTTGAAATGAGTGTCCATCTACATAATGTATACAAAAATGGGGTGTAATTTATAACACAGTTTCTCTAAGATTAAGTTATATTTCATTTATTCATCTGAACTTGAGCATCCATAATCAATTGACGTCCAGCAAGCAAAACCGGAAATTTTGGGATGTAAATTTCTTGAATATTCTCCTCGATGTTTTAATAGTCGATCATGGAAATGGGATATCAATTCCTTAAAGTAGTGGAACGAAATATGTTTTACCGTGTTATTACGAAGGAATTTCAATTCCTTTGCGAACTCTGTAAAATTATAACGTACCTGGAACGAACATATCCTGTACGAGATAATACTTATCTTTGAACATACTT